GTGGCCCTTAGTGCCATGATATAGTAATTGGAGTTGGATCAGGGGTTGGACTTGATGATCTTGGAGGTCTTTTCCAACCCAATCTATTCTATGATTCTATGATTCTGTATATTAAGTGTTCCTCCAGCTCTCTTGTATTCTCCTTGTAGAGCTAAGACTGAAAGAAAGGTGAGGTTTTTCTCCATCTCACATTTGTAGCTATCAGCTGAAAAAAAACCCAACTGAGAGAAATTTAGATCCTTCACCATGAAATTAACAGCCACGCTTTGTGATTGGAACAGGTCCCCAGTGGTACCCTTCCCGTGTTGGCCTGCAACTAGAACGCAGTAAGTATTCATATGGTTGAATACAGCCACCTAATGTATTACTAATCCTCTGGCAGATTTTCCTTCTAACAGTATTGCTCTCTCTATACGTGTTATTGGGTGAACTGTTAGCACATTTTCATTAACAGATATCAATTATTAACTTATTAGTCTTCTCATTAATAAAGGAATCTAATGTTTTTCATAATGTTTCAGGATACAGCATATGATCAAATAAGGAAGACAAGGCAGTTTTAAACCCATTTGCTCACTTCTCACACTCAATGCATGATCTATTTTAATACTTGCTCACAGCCTCATCAGAAGATGCAGCTGCCTGCAGGAGGCAGCCTCTTTTTTTGTGCCAGTACATAAGTTCTTGGTGGACATGGTAGTGGGAGATAAGGCTGCCACGGGCTGTGTGGTATTTGGTCTGTGGACATGTTGAATTTCAAAGCCATAGAAAATGAGGGCTCAGCAGCTGATGGAATTTAGCTTCCTTGCTGATGTAAACAGTCAACAAATGAATTGAAAGGGAAACGCAACGCATAAAGCAGAAAAGAGCAAAGAGGTGTTGCAGCCATGACAACATCCCAAGCCTGTGGCTGTTGGAGTTTCCTAATATCCAGCTCCCTGCCCCCATAGAACAAAAGAGAACCAGATATTGCCATTTTATCTCTCTGTCTGCACACTCTAGGTCCATTAGAACCTAGGGGAGGTTTATGTTAGATATTAGAAAAAATTTCTTTACAGAGAGGGTGGTCAGACATTGGAATGGGCTACCCAGGGAAGTAATGGATTCTCCGTCCCTAGAGATTTTTAAAAAGAGACTGAAAGTGGCACTTAGTGCCATGGGCTAGTAACCACAGTGGTAATGGATCAAGGGTTGGACTTGATGATCTTGAAGGTCCCTTCCAACCTGGCTGATTCAATGATTCTATGATTCTATGATTCTATGATTCCATGACTGGAAGCAGATGCCTCAGAATGCTGGGAAAAATAATGTAGTGCTCACATACACCTGGTCTGCCTAGGTCAGAGCTTACAAAGAAATCTTGAACAGTGGGCCTTTGCCCAAGAAGTTGCATTCATCATGAAGTGCCACCTATTGTGAAATAGCCTGAGGAGGTGAATGTTTCAGCAAAATACTTCAGTGAGGGAAATGCTGCATAACATCGACTTTGCCATTAGTCTTGCAAGACAGAACAAAGAGTGCTCTACGGAGTTGTCTGTGATTGCTTGGCATGTCTCTAACGGGTTAGATTAACAGAGATAGCATCATACAGTTGCCATGCATTGCTGCCCAGTGTCATGTCAGCCTGATGCTTTTGTTAAAATGAGATGAGAATAACTCTCACAGAAGTGCTCTAAGTTGTTAACCTGGAGAATAAGTACCATGTCACCAAAATAAATCAGAATACAAGCTGGGCCGACACCTGGGCCATTATCAGGGCAGTCTATGCATTGTGCTGAATCTCTGAGAGGATACCTGTTGTTCATGCCATTTCTTCTTCCTTTTTTGTCATTGCAGATGGGCCCTTTTTGAAGGATTCAATTAACATTCAAAGTCTTGCTGTTTCCTCCATCATTACACTGTATTTTACAGACCTGGGTCAGCAGGTCGGTTGGACCACAGTAAGTATGTCCTTGTAACAATCAACAGGATATATCTTAATGTACAATGTGTTTTAGCATCAAATTACTCCAACTTCCCCAGCCAGTCTTTCCCTATGTAAAATGGTGTAATTACTTATCAGCAGTCAAAACAGAATTAAATGGACAGTGAGCTAAATTATCAATATGCTAACTCTGGCATCCAATTAAAGATTAGAAGGCGGACATAAAAATATTGCCTGAGAAAAAAAATCAATTTTAAAAAACAGTTTTAGCTTATCTAGGGTTTATATGCCTGTGCAGAACCTGTAGCCAAATATATTAATTTGCTGCAAGACCCCTCAGCTTTGAAAGTGGAAGGATATTAAAAAGAAAAAATGGATTTCTAGTAATCCTGTTACTAATGTGGGAAAATTATTGGATGAAAATGTCTTTCTCATTATTCACCCAAAGCACAGTTCTGATAGAGAGGTTAAGGATTCCAGGCAGAAGACGTCCAGCCAGGCTCAGGAGTCACAACTTTTGAATCTCTTTCTAAAACAAAACTATTTGCCATGAGCAACAATATCTGTATTATGCTCTAGGTAGGCATGGTCTCAGTCTGACTTCAGTTATTTTCCTGTAAGTAACTTTCAGAATACAGTATGTGATCAATATGAAGACCACAGTTGGAAGGTCAGGGTGGTGGGAGAGAGGCAGCACATTCCACTCAAATGGGGTTGTGGGGAACTCTAACCTTACAGGCTCCTCTGGGAAAGGAAGAAGAGAAGGATTCAATGCATTCACAGTCCAAAGACAGAAGACAGTAGAAGTATTTGAAAGGACAGTGAAGGAATGGGAGATGAAGAGACTTTTCCAGTGTCCTGCATCAGGCATATGTGGTGGAGCTGAAAGTAGTTTCACTACTAGACTGACCCAGCTTTTGCTGTAGTTTGCATGTACTGCACTACCTGGGGTAAGACATAGCCCATATCTGTATATTGGGTAATGAGACTCCCAATTTCTGCAGTGAGGAACATGAGTAAGACAGAACTACTGTTTCTGAAAGCCATTAAAACACTGACAAGACTATTCATAGCAATGGAAAACATACCACCAGTTGCTTTCAATTCTTTTAATGAAGCAAGTGAGTTTTCCCTAACTGGCATCATGGCTGTTGGCCAACATTGAATTCTTAGCTCAGGCAGGACACAGATCCTACCCTGCTCATGCAGGGGGACTACAAGACCCACTGACAAGCCACTGTCCTTCCTTGGCAGTGCCTATATGGATGAAGCTTGTGAGCGTCAGATCTTCGAGCAGCTCACAGGTGATAGTTCCTGTTCATCTCTCCAACGGGTCACTATGGGCTAGGAAGCATTACTACAAGACACTTGGAGTAAGCATGCTAATTTACAGTTCCTTATCTCTTGGAAGGTACACTCAAAGTGTTACTGCCCGAGCTGCCCTTGACCTTGGGATGTCAGCCTCTGGATCAGTTCTGTAAGGTCATATATCCATCTCACCTGCTCAAGCTCATCTACATTTCCCCTCTCCAAGGAAGCAGATTGCCCTGATCAGCACAAATTCTGACAGGCTTTAGCCCCTTTGAAGAAGAACATGACCTGTATCCATCCTTCCCAGTTCCAATAGGACCCAAATCCCCAGGTGGTGACAGGCAGTTTACTTCAGTGGAGCTATAGCCTTTGACACCTACCTGTTTCAGTGGAGGTCTGCGAGTTGCCAAGGCTTTCCCCCACCCTGATTAGTAGCCTACTGGGGCCACACTGATTAATGCCAGTCCTGTTCCCCCCCTGAATCCATCCCACCACTTCTCAACCATGGAATTTCCTTGCAAAGCAAAAGTGTGATTAGTGCAGCTTTCTGTTTGCTACAATTAAGTAATCTGCAAAAACCTTATTTATTCTCTCTTTTCCTGGTGGTTTATGTAGCCTAAGACAGTAACATAACTAAAGCTTAATATCCCATTATAAATAGTGCAGTTATGACCAGGAGTTGATACTGCAGGCAGTGGCATTTTTTTTATGATTTAATCTGCATGCAAAAAGTTGACTCCCTGAGTTTCTGAATATTCATGTTATCCCATTCTGCTCCATACTTTAAATTGTCTCCATTCTTAGTGAAAGAAATCTTCTTCCTAGCCACATCATTTAAACAGCCAGGAGATTTTTATGTTATAACTAGTCTGTAACAAGAGAGAAAAAGTTCATAGAAGATTGTATTCTAACAATAGCAATTAAGAATGCATTTGTACACAGTATGTGTAGTTTTACTGCCATTTTTACTATGCTTAGAGCTCCCTTTCTCCCATCCCCCTTGATACTCTATCAGATTTATGCATACAGAGAGGGATGTTTCTGATTTAAAGGGTTGACATTTAAATAAACAAGGCGCAGAATGAAAATATTCTTATCTCGTCAGCAAAAGGATAGCTAAGGTACAAAGGGCCACATTCAGCTCTGGGCTCCAAAAATAGATACAGAAGCACATGGAGACGTCCTGGTGGCTCCAGAGGTCAATGCTTTGGGCATGGATCTGTCTAGGGGAACACTAATCACAGAGGTGGGTCTTCTGGGGCTCTGTCACCTCATTGGAGATCACACTTGAGGATCAAGAACACTAAGACTCCCAATGCTGGGGATTTACAGCCAGACAATGACTTGTGGTTTTTAAAAGGGGAAAATAGTACTGACCTCCACCTCTACCTCCTGGGAGCAGTGCCCTTTCCAAGAGAGTGGTAAAATAAAAGGTCTATTCCCAGACAGAATTTGGGTCTCGATAAGTCTAGGAGCAGTCTTCTGAACCAAGAAACCTCAGCTTCCCTTTTGGAGCACCCACAATCTCTGATTTACAGTCCTTGTCACGCTCCACCTTGGTGGCTCAAGAGTTTGCTGTCTCGTCTACTTAGGTCCTCTGTGAGAGGCTGACACTTTGTAGGAAGGATGTTTCCTCCTTTTCCTCAACCTTCTTAAAACAGGGTGCACAATGATCAAAATATTTTTGGTGTTTTGTGCTGTGAAAGGCCAGACATCCCCTGGGCTCAGGTTGCTCCACAGCTTTGAGATTGGTTGACCAGTTTTCAGCAACTCCTTGAGACTGTGTTTCTCTGATGGAGAAGAGAGCACAAACCAGGGTGAGGGATTTGCAGTTCTCTGCCGCTGGAATAATTATTTGTCACTCTCTTTTGAGAATGTGATCCTTTTCTGGGATAATTTCAGTAGACATCTAGCCTCAGTTGGCTCTTTTAGAAGAAAGGAGACCCTCAGGGCTGATTTGCAGAACACAATTCAGGGACAAAACAAAACCTGTCTCTTAGTATCATCGATTTTGTTAGAACTCTCGCTCTACTCTGCCTTATTTATATCAAATATTTCCAGAAACACATAATTTACTTCTGCACAAGACTTACCAATTCCTTTACCCTACCTGGAGGGTCTAATTGAGGTTTGCTGACGGATATTGCAGAGATACTGATGGGATATGAGTTTACAGATCTTTTCTATAAGGCCTTGCAAATATTTTACCCCAGAGGTGCTTGAAATTCCTACCACTGGAGTGATGGGTTGTATTTTTAACCTCTGTTCAATTCTGGGCCTAAGCATGTTTGACAGACACCTCTTTTTATACATTGCAATGCAGCATAGTAAAACACATGGCTGGTGTTTTATTACTAATAATGCACACTGCTGCTGTAGTCAAAAGGAAGAAAAAACTCCATTCTTCATCCTCAAATTCACACTTCTGCTAAAGCCTTCCTCATTTGAGCAGTGATTGCAATTTCTGATTTATCAGCTCCTGTTGTCCTGTTGCCACCTGGGCCGGCTACCAGAAGCATCCAAATAGAACTAAGAAAACAGCACAGAATTGTAGAAAATATATGTTACCTACAAGTCTGTGAATTTCAGAAGATTAACCCTGAAACACAGTACTTCAGCAAATATTTTTTGTAACTTTGATTTCAGATTAGGGACTGCTTAAACACTTTGACTCTTGAGGGCCTTAAAATAGTACAGCTGGCAGCAGAACTGCTCCATTTCAAATTTCCCAATGAAAAAAACTCTGCTCAATTTAGCAATGTGGAGACTAATACTTATTTAAACCCAAGAGCATCTTTGAAGTCTGAAACCCCACATTTTTTGCTAATTAATCTGTTCCCTCCTGGCTGGCAGGCAAATTTATCACCAAGTTAGACATTGTGGAAAATGAACAGGAAGCCAAGAGATCTATGTTTGAAGCTGTGTGATTACGTATAGCAGGTACACACAGTGGGGAAGTGCAATAATGAGATGTGCCTGTTCTCTCAAGGGAAGGCAGTGTTTCAGTCACCGTGGTTCTCTTCTCTTACTCACACAGTGCTAGTGTGCCACAGTTTTTCTGTCCTGTGGGTGTGGGTGGGTGGTGAATACGGGAGGAGCAGTTTTTTCTGACTGTCAAACATAGTGAGTTGGTCCTGTAAACGTGGAACAATCCCACGAAGTCTGTGGGATGACTGTGATAGGAAGCAATTTGCATATGGATGGGTTTGGAAAAGAGGCAGCCAAACTGCTGCAGACTCATTTTCTCCACCTTCTCTATAATGAGGTCAGCTTTGTGCTCCCCATGGGGAACAACTTAAGATATTTTCCCTAATTTGTGAACAGAAGAAGAGACTTCAGTAAAGGTTTATAACCTGTCAATGGAATATAAAAGTACAGAAAATTACAATAGAAAAAAAAGAGAGGATCTGAGAAATCTGAAGGAGTGTGAGGACTGGGAGTCCCAGAAAACTAGTGAGCCAGTATAAAGGTGATAAATGTAAGAAAACTGATATGATCATAGTTTAGAAAGGAATTTGAGATCCAGGTAAGAGAGGGAACTGAGGATCTGTAGGATGTATCAGAGAATGTCACTGACTATAATTCTCAGCAGATACGTATGAGGGTTTGCATATTTTGTGGCCAATTCACGGTTAGTTGTGGGAATAGGACCCTACAAATAGAATAACACTTTTAGGGAATAGTGGGTACCTGAAAAAACTTTGC